TAACGTAAGACCAACATTTTCATATACTTTAAAAAGAACTAATATCGTTCATTTTTTAGTACAATCTCGATCGATTCTAGCAGTTCATGGAGCATCTCCAAATGCGTTAAAATGCAAGTTATCTTATTTATTAACAATTATCAGCGTTTTTTTGTTTTTATAGCAATATCTATCAAGAATATTGGGGCATATAATACTACAACAAGTGATCAACAAGTGTCGCATGTCATGCTGTCAAAATCTGAATAAGATGCATATTTAAAAGATGTCAATTGCCTTCGATCGATTATAAATTCTGATTGTTCTTTAAATTTTCTCCTGTTAATTGAATTTATTTACCATTTACATTGCTTTTGTAGCTTATTCACGAATATTCATTAATGAAAAATGCATTATGCTCATTTGAAGAAATTCACACTGATGCTCGAGTTGTACTTGATGATCTTTATTGGTAAATATTTAATCAAAACCTACCGTACAAGATGCACGTATCGATTGGTATGGGTGGTCTTCATAAAATATTGGCATTAATTATTATCACATACATGATTTTCAATCATCAGCCAATCCCAGGTCGAGCATACACGGTCGCATACAACGGTAAATCGCCGTATTTAGCCGTATTACATGGCTCCGTATTACGATCGTAAATCTCCGTGCCGTATACGGCGAAATACGGCGCTTTACGGTCGTTTTTGATCGTATTTCACCGTATTACGACACGGAGATTTACGATCGTAATACGGAGCCATGTAATACGGCCAAATACGGCGATTTACCGTCGTATACGGCAGAAAACAGCCGTATACGGCCCGTATTTCACCGTATACGGACGTCGTAAAGCTCGTCCTGGGAACGCACAAATTACCCGTTATGATCATTGAAAGAAAAAAAGATGCAATAGTATGACTGTCTAAGTAAACTTAGAGATTTTTTTGTATTATTTTTCTTTTTTGAAATATTTTTTTAAAACATATGTCGATTTATTAAATGCATATATAAAACTGATGAACTTATTTTATTTTTCATTTATTATTAATATATTATTTTCTGCTTTATTTCGTTTCTAGAAAATATGTATATAGTCAACAAAACTTCGATGGAAAAAAATAATCATAAATATAATATATATTAATTAGCTTTTCAATCCGTCACTTGAGAACGTTTTTTAGTAGTAGCTGTTTCAGATATTTCAGCTAACCTATCACTTGCTGCTGATTCCGGAATGGATACGCGTCAATACGAGCACTAATAACAAAGTGAAATATATCAATAAAATCATTTATTATCTCTCTATGATCTGTAAAAATATATGCGATACAAGAGTATATGAGGGCGTATGGATATCTATCTGTACGCATAATATCGAGTGTCTGTTCCTAAATGAAAAGTTAAACGTCTTAGGTCATCCGTTAAAAGAGAAAATAGCCGTGCATGCTACACGGGCTCTCGCTAATATTAAGAATAGCGTATTCTGAACTGATTGAAGAATAAAGTAAATAGTCAAAAATGCATGAATTGATATTATGTGAAAGATATTTTAGATGAAAGCTTCGTTATTTTAGCGTTACCATCATCTTGTAAAAATGTATATTATATCGAATATCTTCAACTTGATATAATTTCTTGTCGAATAAAATGAACTTAACAAGTCATTGCCACTATTAGATAGAGATAACGAAATATTTCTCTGAAGTGCCATTCAAATAACCTGAGCTTATGAATTGTAACTGTTTTCTCATTCAAACTACTCAGTTCAAGATGCAAAATCATTGTTTTCAATTTTGTTTTACTTTCTAGTTGGCAGAGAAAATACACTGAGTTACAATCGAACGGGAGTGCATAGCAACATCAACAACAGACACTTGCTCTCTCAAAGAGCAGAATACATTTATTCAATCATTTTCTCACATTGGCAGCAGTCTTCTACGTTCTCATAGAAAAAATGGCATCACATTTTCAACAAAGAACAGTACGTGTAGGATGTAGTTCTAATCCAAATAATGCTGGTGAAATACTGAGTGTAAGAAGTGATTACAACCGTGGTGATCTCTCAGAACTTGTTGCCTTAGTCGGACATGGTGCCAGCGGACGCGGTTCAAGTAGGCAAACCGCTCATGGTGTTGGTCAAGCAAACAGTGTTGCAGCAAGCAAGATGTCGTCGCGATTGGGAATAGGCCATTAGGAGAACGACAATCTATGAAAGCACGAAAAAAAATAAATATCTGTGCTACATTTCTGTTAAATATTAGTATTTGATTCATCTTTCTTGCGCACATTCTATAAATGATTTACGAAGCACCTATATCACCTAATTTTTTGCTCATATACTAGAAACTGGTTCAACCAAAGCTTGTACTTTGCTGTATTTGAGCACAATCAATTCGAACGAATAAATCAAACAAACACAAAATATTTTTATCTTCAAACGGAGGGTGCGGCTGCAGGCGTATGTGAGTGTGCGGATTTGGGTGAGAATGTGAGCACTTGTCCTTTCTTAACCATCACATCCACATTAATTGGCAAAATAATATTTTCTTGTACAAAACAAATTAAGCTAAATGTTTTATGCATCAACTGATATCAGTAGAGTGCCTATTGTGAGACTCTATGAAATGACAGACGTTTTGCTAAAGAAAAGAGCGAGCACTGTGGAATTGTTCACATATTCAAAAAATAGATTGACTTATCCATATTGAAGAAAGGACAAATACAATCTCCTTGTTATCAAACTCTTGCTTTTGAGCCCCTAACGTTTTGGTCAAAGTTTGATGAATGTGCTAAAATCACAAGCTATTGTACTTCGTATAAAGAATCATTAAAACAATTCAGAGTTTAATGTACCGACGCGCTTCGTGTTATTTATTGCAATTTGAATAGCTCGCCAGGATTCTGTATTACAATTGAGGATGTGGGTAAGTAGAAGCTACCACAACGCGTTCCGACTATTGTTTAGATAGTCTCATCAGATAGCATATAAATCTTTAAGTTGATTTAAAATTTTGAAAAGAAATTAATTAATTAATTCAAGATAACGAGCGGGGGAAGTTTTGGGGTCATTTCGGCCCAATTAGAAAAATACATCGGCCCAGCCTAAAACTTTCGCAGACTATACAGAGCACGTTACTTTATATCTTTTCTGCAAGTTTCAGCTTGATCCATTGAGCCTAAGGTCAGTTTTGGCCTTGGCCACGTGAGCCTGATTTGGGCACACTGGTCTAAATTTGAACGAGTCATTTCTCAACATAAAAGAAAATACTCTAGATGTAGGTGTCTTGTCTTCACTTATCTACAAACACCCACACTCAAAAGGATTGAAATTATCTTGTTTTCTGTCAGGGGCGGCGGAGCGTCATTAAGCTAGGTGAGGCTCATCATATTTTTTTGCTACCGTGGCATTTTATGAAACATCAAGTAGTACCCATGTCGCACAAACCGATCGAAAAAAGTCGGTTAACCGCGGTCAATTTTTATATAAAATTGGTTAACCGCGGTTATTTAAGCCATTTTAGCGACTTTACAGCGTAAAAACCAACGGTTAACCGGACAAGTCATCAGTTATATCGCTAGCTGGCGGTTATTTTTCCGGTTAACTGGGAGGTTAACCGCGGTTAACCATTGGTTTTTACGCTGTAAAGTCGCTAAAATGGCTTAAATAACCGCGGTTAACCGACGGTTTTCGATCGGTTTGTGCGACATAGGTAAATAAGTCTTCTTTTTATTGAGCCTCAGTAAAAATAAAAATGGTCAGTATAAAAAAGAAGATTGGAAAATACCGAAAACTAGTTTTCTTTGCTTCTACTCTGATGCAAGAACAAGAAAATAGCAATATTCAGTACAAAAGCAAGTGAGGCTGAGCCTCATCTACTGAAAACTAGGTGAGGCTCAAGCCTCATCTGTCTCAGTGGCTCCGCCGCCATTGTTTTCTGTACAGGCTCATATGCAGTTATACACACCTTGATTCTTCAGTTCACAGTACAGAAAAGAAATCCGTTGAATAATATACACACTCATTAATAAGAGTGATAGCAATTATTCGGAAACGACGTCCTGCATGAATATATGAATGTAACAAGAACAAGCACAAATAAGCATGAAATAGACTATAGGATAGTAATTCAGTTGACTCAGTTTTTGAAAGGCTCGTCTGCAAATTGCTGTCACCACATAAAATCTTCCACTTTCATGTTCATAATGTTCATCTTCTTACATAAATGACTCTTAATAATAATTAAAAGTCTCATATCATCGTTTTATGTTAATTACTCTCATCATTCATCTAATACGTTGGCATAAGCTCCCCGTTCCCTTTCGTGCATATACGACATCTTTTCTACATAATCGCCGCCTTTCTCATTAATAGGTGTGCATATTATCCAACGAATTTATTTTCTGTACTGTGAAATAAATAAAGAATGAATGGGGAAATGTTTATACTGCATACGAACCTTCAATGTTAATCAACAACCAAACAAGCATTGCGCAGGTAACGAAGCAGTGCATTCTTATTTCATTACAACAGTCACTACTAATTTCCTGATTCCAACTGTTTGATCAAAAATCATTGAACACTATGATGAACACGTGTTCATCTTAAATTTTAGAGGACAACGTGACCTGAAAAGTCAGTTAATTTCATTCTTTTCTTTGACTTCCAACCGAAAAAGATTGACTATACATAGATTTGTTGAGAATATTAGAGTGCAACTGTGGGAAGAAATCATGGAATCTAATTGTTTGCGTAAAGGGAAAAGATTATAGGCAAAATGCACATAATATTTTTTAGTTTTCAAGATTTTCGATATAAGCGTGATCACCGTTATTTTAGCAGGCAATCCTTTTGCAGATCATCCCTTGTGTGATAAAATCGGATTCAACTCGGTGTTAGACACTGTCGAACTGAATGAAAATTCATGTTTTTAATAAATTATTATTAACAAAGATTGTTTTATTACTATTACATTAATTTTTCTTTTGAGAATAATATATCATATGAAAAGATGAATCAATGTCTACTCGACGAATTACCTATTGAAATTTTACACATTCTATTCTCGTATTTTTTGGCTCATGAAATCTTCTATTCGTTCTTAAATATCAATTCTTATCTTGACGCAGCAATCGTATCTTATCCGAACTATCAACTCAATTTCCAATCGATTAGCAAATATTATTTCGATCTCGTTTGTCAACATATTTCGCCAAAACGAGTCATTGCAATAACATTATCCGATGATAATGATACATGTGGTCAATCTGATATCTTTCTATCTCGCTTTCAAATCGATCAATTCGTTAAGCTGCGATCGTTAACATTAATACGCATAGAATTAAAATCATTGAAATATATCAATTCATATTTACATAAACTTGATCAGCTCGTGTCACTTACATGCGACTTGACATTAAACGATTCGTCGTTCGCTATATTTCAACTAGGTCAACGAATACAATTTTCACTTGTCAGCACTGATCTGTTATCTGGGATGCCACTTTCTCATTTACATCACTTGGCCATTGTACAATGTTCATTTAAAACGTTCCTTATTATTTGTAATTTAGCACGACAACTTAAAACACTGGACATCGAACTGATTGGTTGTCCGCCAAACGCTGATTTGCAATTTGAATTCGTTCAACTTACTCGCCTTATTCTACGAAATCTTAGTAAGTATGATCTTTGTTTTTGTCATAGATAAGTTTTGTATCTTGGAAAAATTGATATGCATATTCTTTCACTCAAATGAATAGGTTGGCATGCATCTATGAAGGATATAGAATCAGCATTGCTCAAACTTCCACGTCTTAGACATCTCGAAATATCAACATCTGGCCATGTTGATCTTGCTGATGCATATCGATGGGAAACGTTATCAAAGGATTTTCTTACTCTGAAATTTTATTTCAAAATTCAACTTAGTTCAATCGAAAAAACTCTTGGGTCATTTCGTACTCCGTTCTGGCTCATAGAGAAACAGTGGTTTGTGGCTTATGAAAATATGTCATTCTTTACATTACCGCATTTTCTCCAGACGCATGCCAATGAATATTTTCAGCTTCCTAAACACTCGACGTGCATTAACAATGCCATTATTTATGAACATATCACTAAATCAATATTCGTTGATAAAATAATCAAACCTGATCATCGTTTTACCCATGTTCATACACTAGAACTTCGAAATAAGACTGCTAACGTTGATTTAACGGCTCTTGCTGCTGCCGTTGATTTACATGTTGTAAAAACACTATTGTTACCGTCCTCGATAGAACACAAGAATATCATATTTCTTCTCAACAATATGCCTCGTCTTGAAAATCTCTCAATCAACACTGTAAGATTAATCGTTGGTTTTCTTGTTTTCAAATCTGATAATATTAAATACTTGCATAGTTGGCAAACAAACAGTCAAACAGTTGCGAAATATAGGTAGGATAGGATTACCAGAATCATATAGGATCTGTTTTTTAAGTAAAACAATCTTAGATAGCAGATTTAATTATGTTGTGATATTCAAGATAAGAAAGTTTTGGGCGAAAAAAAGTATGTTTACTAACTTTTATGTCTATGAAAACAGCATAATATAGAAACATCAAAAAAACAATTATACAAAAACGCATTTGAATTTTTTTATATAAACAGTATGTACAAATAGATAAGTCATAAATAGGAAAATTATTATACTTAAGATTAGTATTTGAATCAACTGTAGTTTTTGTTTCTTCATTATTTGCTATTTATGAAATGCAGATTTTATTTTCCTTTCAATAGTTGCTCAATACTAACCTGACTTCTACTATTATCACCATCAATCCATATAGTAGCTTTCTCAATATCAAGACAATCCTTCTTCTTAATTGCCTTTAGTCTCTTTTGGCATGAATTGATATTGCACAGTAAAGAAAATAAAAAATACCTCATTTTAAACTTTGAAAAATGAAATTCTCGCTTGATTTATGATAAAATTATATAGCCTTGCTCAAAATTGCACACAGATTATACTCAGTTGTAATCTGCGAATCATCAGTGTAGCGTTCAAAAATATTTTTTAGTGGAATTTCTTAACGTTTTTTCAGATGTACGAATACGAAGTCTGGGCTTCTATAGAAAAATTCATGGGTTCTCTTTTATAAATAGCTAGAGAATATTATCATCTATAAGCTGGCATCGCAGCGGCTCTCTCAAAAAATATAGGAATTCCTATATAGGATAGGTCTAAAATATATAGGATCGCCCTCAACTATATAGGAAAAATATAGGATGACAAATTTATTCCAGAAAAAGATTTAGACACCGAAAAATCACTGTAACAGCATTGAAGATGATAATGTGTTGTTTTTGCACGTATATCTAATCAGCTAAATAAAAATATTATTGAGTTTTGAAAAGTAATGGAGCAGCAAGATTTTCTTAAAACATAAAAAAACTAATTTATGTTCGATTTATTTTCACTATTGGACATGCATGCACTTTAGGGTGTGGGCGAGTTTCTGAACAAAATACTCACACCCACACCCACACCTTTTTGGTATTCAGTCTTTTAGAATTTCATAGTAAGCTACATCAAATTTCATCGAAAAATAAGCATCCGTTCAGGAGTTATAACGTTGTGCATTTTTTTCAAATACTGCCAAGATTTTAGCAAAATTTCAAACCGTTATAACTCCTGAATGGATGCTTATTTTTCGATGAAATTTGATGTAGCTTACTATGAAATTCTGAAAGGCGGAATACCAAAAAAGGTTAAAAACATTTGCCGGTTGGGCAAGCAAAAAAATTATTTTGTTTTCGCAAACTACAATCACAAACTTTTGACCACAAAACCTCATTACTTAGCTCCAATATGACCCCTCATAAGTTCCATCTAGGTCTCATGCACTGACGCTGAGATCTAGCATACTCAGAAATTCTGGATAAAACACTGATACAAAGACAACTAATGCAACGAGTATACTATATACATTATCTAGATGAACCAATAGGAAATAAGCGCCATACAAATTGTTACTGGCAATATTTAAATGATGTGTTGAACACTTATCAGGAGTTTTTTGAATTTTTTTAGAAGAATCTTCAATTTTTTCAAAAAAAATAGGAATATAGGAAAAAAGCTCAAAATATAGTCTATTATAGGATAAATTTTTAAAATATAGGAAATACAGGATATATAGGACTGCTGCGAAGCCAGTCTATAAGTTTGGAAGCTTTTCATTCAATAGGGAATGATGACTGACTTTGATCTTGCATTGTGATTGAAATTTCATCTTGTCGAGTCCGACTCTAAATTGCTGTCAGAAGTGTTAAAATAATCTAACTAATTGACGGTATTCAGAAGTCAATCACTTTTTATTTCTTTTGAGAATCAAAATTTATTGGCTAAAGATCGTTTCAAAAGCTAACAAAGCATATTGTTACAGAGTGTCCCATTTTCTGACAACGAACTCTTATTCTTGAGAGAGAGAGAGAGAAGATTTTTTTTTCAAGGGGAACTTATTTAACGTTTTTTTTTATTTGCACGAATGATTCTAGAGTGCCAATCAAGATTTTGAAGATTTCTTTCAAGAAACTAAACATATGCGACTCGAAAATATTCATGCACTTACCATATGTAATCATTATGTCATCAGCAATCGTTATATTGCTAGTCAACTTTGCCATATTTTTCCACGTGTGAAAAAATTACATGTATCGGTGAACCGACTCGACGATATGATAATTTTAATTGATGGATTCAAACATTTATCGAGTGCATCATTCATGTTCAAGTCTTTATTCAGTAATGACAAACAAGATCTATGGCAAAAGATTAATACAATAGTCAATGGTGTTTATCGTTTAGAAGACTCATGTCTTCATATGTGGATTGAAAATCGGATGGATATTTCACAGAAAAAAAATATTTCAAATATTAGTTGGTCACAACGATTAGAAAAGTTTTGGCATTATCTTGATTTTATGTTGAGTCAAGAGTCACCGCTTTCTAAATTCTTTACTATTTTCTTGATCGCTTATCTACACAATATCGTGACGCAAATGTGGATCTACTTAATGCCTTATATTGCATTAAATTTATTTGTTTGTCAGACGATACTTGGCAGTTCTTCCTTTACATATCTTAGTCCAATTGGTTCATTATTCTCCAAATACGTTGATCGACCGTCTACATATTTATTTGGTTACTTATTCGTTTCAATAATTATCATCATTGGTTATATCTTTGCCGACGAGTGGAAATTAATGATTGCAGATACTGTGAGTTGATTAGCGTCAAAATTTGAAACTCCTCTTGGAATTCATACGTAAATTGTCAATAGATGACTTAGCTATTCGATCTAGTCCCTCAGTTCATAAGAAAATCGTACAGTTTTCTTGTACTTTGGAAGAAAATATTTGTTTTCTAATGTAATGAGTTTCATGATAGCCTCTACAGAGTAAATTTCGATTTAGTATTTAGTATAATGAAGATTTTAAGTGTCGAGATCAATGTCTTAATTTTATATTTGTAGAAAAAATATGAGTCACACTGAAGAGCACAGTCATAGATATTTTTTTCATTATATATTCCATAAATGAATTGATTTTAGATGAAAGATAATGTCGTTGTCTATCACGATCTTATTCGATCGATTCTTCTTAGTATAAGTGGCTATTTCCATGCACTTGGTGGATATCTCACCTGCTCGATAGTATATGGCAATAGAAATCTTATCTTTCAATGGATCATCGTTTTTATAATATTGTGTTTCGTTGGTTTATTTACCTGTATGATAAAATTGTTTTTTGTTGACTCGTTTATTTGATATTATGTGCTCATTTGTATTTTTTGGAGAAAACATCATAGGAAAAAATGACTAATAATTTCTTTCTTGTCTAACCTCATTTGTTGATGGTGTGACTGAAGAGCATAAAATGTGCACACTCTAGTTACATGAGATTCCGGTTATGGAAGAAAGTATAACCGTTCAGCAACACATTACTTAACGCAGAATTCTTCGATGCATGTTTTGCAAAAACATTCCAATTAAAGCGATCAAGATTACTGACCCTAAGAAGCAGTACCATTATTGAGAAGAGTGCGGCGGGTGTAACTGAAGAGGAAACTCTCTAACAATCGATCTTCTTCGTTGTTTCTTTTCATCTTTTGTCATAGCATAAACAAAATATTTTACAGATTCATTTCCATCGGAAAGTGAATAGACTATTGATATTTTTGTTTGGTTAAATATTGTCGACGAAAATGAGTTGTTGAAATGATATTCAATTAAATCGACCATTATTCGATTGAAGATATTTACTAATTTCTGTTGATATCAAATCAATTTTTTCTTTTAATTCTTCTGATGGATTCCATGAATGACTTTCATGTCTAACAAAAAATACATCTGGTGTATCTTTTTCAAAATAATCTCCACGTTAAGGCATTGCTCGAGTATCTAAAGCAAGCCGATCAATCAGACATTCATCAATCGATGTTTATCAAGAATATAAGATGACAACAATTCCGACCGTACATTTCTTCAGCAAGTGATGATGAACTATAGGCAAGGCAAGGACACAACCAGGAATATTTTCCGCGGGGGGGGGGGCTCATAGAGAGAAAGTGACGTTTTGCTTGTAAAAACAAATAAGTCTGTACCCCTTTCCAGTGATTTAAATCTTACAGGAGGAATTGATCTCCTCAATTCCCTTCCCTCTCTGATTTCGTCGCTGAACCAAGGTGAAGATTTTCAATAAATATCTAATACAGGATAAAGACGTGAAAAATTTCCGAACCATTCAAATGAATTTTCGGTTAAAATACATAAAACAAACACAAACTAAATATTAATTAAAAAATGAAATCAAAAGCCTTAAAAAAATAAACCGATGTGATATAGTACTTCATTATATGCACAAAACTCAAAGATAAATATTATTCCGATAAGCAGAATAGATCTTCCGATTATTGTAATTCATAGACAACTTTCATAAAAAAGAATAGATGACCATAAAGTTAAACCATTTTGATATAATAATCGTGCTAACCAAACACCGAGAAAACTTAAATAGCATCGAAGAGAAATAATAATATTTCATTTCATAAGAAAAACTTATTTCAACCGCATCTATTTGTTTGATCATTGAATCGACCTTGAAATCAGGGTGATGAAGATTATGGTGAAGTTTTTTTTCTGATAGACTTGCATGATAAGGCAATTTGAAATTGATCCACTTCATAGTTTGCGACTGATTGCTGGTATTAATCCATATGCATTGGAATTTTTATAGGTCCTGGCAAATAATTTCTCACACCAAGTTTTGAATTTACGTACTCTAATCAAGGTTTAGCAAGTCGTAATTGGCAAGAAAATGTTAATAGGTTAGCGAAGTTGAAGCAACAAGTATTAAATTTGGTATTTGGATTTAACCAGGAATGGTAAATCCAAAAAGTGAACTCTATGAAAATCAATCAATTTTCTTCAATCTCATTTATATCTTGATTATGTAAATGGTTTCTATAATATTTTAAAATGTCTTCGACAAAAATATCCTTCGGTATCCATTACGTTCAGGTGGTGACGGTGGACGAATCCATCATGTTGTTTCAAGATATTTTACTGAATTTTGGTCAAGTGATAATAGTGATAGCGAAGAAGGAATATTTTATCCAACGGAGTTATTCATTCTTTTTTCCTGAAATAGCATATTATTGGTTGGACTAAATAATCATTAAAATTTCGAACTGATGTAGCTACGATGAGCAAACTAGGATATGATATTGTAGTAAGCAAATTTAAAACACTCAACTAAGTTAATTAATCTGTATTCTTACTTCTGACTGCAGTTGGACATACGATGCTTTTTTTTACAAAACGAGAATGATGTTTGACCAGACACACACAAAAAGCTTGTGTTATAACTCTTTTTATTTCCTATATTATATCCTTACCGGATATTCTTGAAGAAAATAAGAAGTAACTCTTTAATCGAATCGAATGTTTTTCTATCTATTATTTAACTTTGAATTTGAAACATACATAACTCATTTACTTGTATCTCTTATGGATAACCAGCTCGTGGGTCATTACGAAGAATATTAAAGATAATGTAGTATCCTAATTTTTGAGTTTTAGTCAGACATATTATAGTATTACATTGAGAACATTTTTCAGCTTCTCAAAAATAAAATTCATAGGTACTTTTCTAGTTTATCAGCATAAAAGATTTCATACAGCAAACATTGAGTTTAACTAACTCGAGTGAAATACTTTCCCATTTTTAGAGTAAGGTACGTCGCATTGATTCTTCTTTTTCTGATTATTCGAAATAAGAAAACAAAGAATAGAATCTTCTTTACACCTCTTTGTTTTCGCTCTAAATCTGCTGCAATAATTGTGCACCTTTCGGTAGATACAATTTCCAGTACGACAACAGCCACCACTAATACGACAAGCACTGCAACAACAACAAACACAACCACTACTACAGCCAGCAGCAACACCACAACAATCACGTCAACTACCACACAAACTGCAACTTCAACAAGTAAGACATTGGTGGGATAGCACATGAAGGATCGCAATTTTTTCAATTTAGTTTTTTGTCATCGAATAATTTCTTTAGAAACAGAGTAAGTCACAAACCACAGTAAGAAAAGCTCTATAAGCTACACTGCAAAATTTATTTTATGTATGCACCGCTGATTTTTTAAATAGAAAAAAGTCTAAGCCATAGGATTTCCAATAGCAGTATCTTTCGTTCAACAATAATAAGGGCCTCAAATGCAGATACTTATACATCCCTATGATGTGTACAACTTCTGAAGTGGCGAACAAGATCATTTTGGAAGCATGAAGAATTCGTTATTTGATTGTATTCATTAATTAGTGGTTAACTTAAAAGCGTTGATTGTTATTTCTTTACGAAGAGCCACACCCATACCCAGGTCAATCGTTCCGATCACCGGATACTGTAGGAACCGGCCGGAAAAATCACCGTGTTTCGGAGGAAAACGCGGGAAGTCGCTGGAACGTGGAAGCAGTATTCCGGTCAAAGCATTTTTGGAGTTTTTCTCGATGATTTACTGTCGGTTCCTACCGGAAAGTACGGGAAGTTGACCGGAATTCACCGGAAAAAAGTTCTGGAATTTTCGGCCGGAATGCTGCTTCCATCTTCCAGCGATTTCTTGTGCTTTCCGGTCGTTTCCCGCCGTATCACCACGATCTGGGTACCCTAATCCACTCTCCCCCGACGACTCCCCGAGGAGTCCCTGTCGTGAGTCCCAGGGGATTTGTCAAGGGACTCCCTGGGGATTCTTCTAGGGAGAGTTGACTAGGATACCCTCGTATAACTCAAAAACTAATCTTATATAAACACTTATCGTTTTCTCTCTTGTGTACACTAGCCATTTCTAATCCATGTTGTACATTATTTCGAAAAGCAAAACCATATTTTCGTCACATTTATTCTCTTGATTTTTTTCTCAATGTAGTCTTGTTAATGTTTATTCAAATCATAAATATACTTAAAAATTTGATCATATCAAATAAAATAAAAGATTCATTGATACAGTCAATGATGAACCATAATGACCTTGCACATTGGTAACTGTTCTAAAGTATCCAGCAAATTCACAACGAGTCATATTAGAACATATCTTGAATTGAATAATTGTTTATTTTCGTTTACCTGTCATGATCGACATATGAGAGCACGCGAAAAATGCTTACCGTTAATGATACTTCTAGAAAAAAAGATTATACGCTCTCTGTGTTTTACGGTTCATATATTCCTAAAAAATTAACACCTGAAATAGAGAAATAATCTAACTGCAAGTTCTCATTATCCTCGAGACTTATTGTAAAAGTGCAACGTTTTCTTTTTGTTTGAGTGCCCTAGAATAATTTTTTATGAATTATTGTAAGCATATTTCGTCGTTGTTGTACTTCTATGGTTTTGCATCATGGCAACCATTACACTTTTTTCTATTCTCTGGAACTTCTTGCCATATTGACGAACATCAAGGGTAAATAACAAGGAAGAGAAAAGTTTTTTTTTCTCTAAAGAGACAGCTAGTGAAAATCTGTTTTTGTATAAATTTACCTAGTATGGGAAGAAAAAGAATTCTTACAGCAATTGTTTGTTTCACGTCTTTTTTCCCACCAAAAAAGTCCTTCTCATCTGTATTTCATTTTATTGGAATCGTTTTACTTAGTTACCTGATAGGTAATGAAAAAAATGTTTCGTTAATTGAAATTACATTTCTTCTATTTTTTAAATAGTTCATCGCGTATATCAAACATTTTCTACTAATGTAAGAAGTATTCATCAATCATCAGACATAGCATTCGCTGTCAAAGATCATAATATTTGTGTGGATGATAGTAAATCATCACTTCGAATTCTTTCAAGCGTAATTTCTCGTAGTGACATAACAAATTATCTTGGTTTTGTTCTTCGATCTCATTCATTATTTTACTGTTCAGTTCCAAAAGTAGCTACACGAACTTTTCTTACATTTATTACTTATCTTCATATACGTGACGATTTAATACCTTTACTGACAAATAAATCAACAATGAGTCATTGGAATTCTCAAAGAAAAGCAAATCCTTTTGATTTTAATAGTATCAATCAAATCATGTCGTTTCCAATGAAGGTAAAAATAATAATACGCAGATTTTCTCATCCTTTCGAAACACTCACAAGCGTTCACACTTTTTTAATTTACATGTACTTTATTGCAAAATGTTGCAGAGTGAAAAAGAGAAACCGAAAGACAAATAAAGAAATAACTTATTCTATTTCCTTTGACCATTCTTACTTATTTAGACATTTTCTTTCAGTGCAAAATATTAGCAAGTCTTCCTATAGAAAAAATAGTAACAAAATAATTAATTAAAATTAACACTTTTGTATTTTTTCTATTCCTATGTAAGCTTCAATTGAAATACAACAATTTATTTCAAACAACACGTTCTATTTGAAAAAATATGAAGAAATTTTAACTTTATTGAAAAACAGGTGTCAGAATAGATATTAGATTTTCTTATTTTTCATTTTGCAATGATAGGCTATATTGAATTGAACTGATAAATAAATCCATTGAGATAATTTTCTTATTCTTAAGTTCAATATAGGGGTGAGAAAGTTATTGTTATTTTTTTTTTGGTTATTATAACAATAACATTCACTTTTTGATTCAAAAACATTTATGAAACAAATGTAAGCATAGTTTGTGCCTACGTCAAAAAATCACTTTATTCATACAGTATCTTTATTACCATTTGATATAAGAATCAGTCGTAAATATTTTGAGAAATCGTAAAATAACTTTTTTTGTTATTGATATTGTTATTAAGAAAAAAAAACGTTATTTTACGGTTTCTCACAATATTTACGACTGGTTCTTATATCAAATGGCCATAACGATACTGTATGAATAAAGTGATTTTTTGACGTAAGCGCAAACTATGCCTACATTTGTTTCATAAATGTTTTTGAATCAAAAAGTGAATGTTATTGTTATAATAACCAAAAAAAAAATAACAATAACTTTCTCACTCCTAGTTCAATAATAATAATCATAGAATCGACTTCTATTCAATATAAAAATTTTTTAGAATGACTCTGAACCATCCCTGCTCAATAAAATGCTCNTTCAATTCTTAAATCGTTCTTATCGCTCCTCATGGATTTCAGTAAAACAAATGTCACCGATTTGGATATTTGGTCAATATATCAACGGAAAAGTTTTCCGCTTATTCGTCCTCAAACTTTATCCAATGTATCGCAACTTTTTTCATCGAATTTTACTCGTGTTATTTTTGTCCGTCATCCATTAGAGCGTTTAGCATCTGCTTATGTCGACAAAATAGCTTCGCTCACGAATGAGCCATTTTTATTATATGATTCAATACGTCGAGCAATTTGTCGAAAATATTCTTCATTTTATCTGACAGATGCGCAACGTAACTTTTATCGTATTCATAGACGAATATCAAAAAAAATCGAAGAGCCATGCCGTAACGTAATTCCAAAATTTGAGCATTTTATTGCTTATATTATGTCTAATTCAATGATAAAGGATGTTCATTGGTATCCTTATTCAAAACTATGTTATACATGTTTATTTAAATATAATTTTATTGGAAAATATGAAACAATTGAAGAAGATCTTGGAAGATTATTAACATATCTTGGATTAGAATCAAAGGATTGGAACAATGTCAACTACTTTAGGACTGGAAAAACAAGAGAACATTATAAATCAATGTATTCAGATTTAAATAATCAATTACTTTGTACCTTGAAATATGTCTACCGAGACGACTTTAAATTATTTGATTATCGACTGGAAGATTATTTAGCAGATAAGAAAACGATTGCATGTTCTCCATCGCATGAAAGACAACTAAGAAAAACATATAAGAAATTGAATTTGTTTTAATTAATTGTTTATTTGCTATACTTTTGTTAAATTCATACACGATATAAGAAATTTTGTAGTTTTAATCTAGGATAATCGATTTTCGTATTAATGATAAGGGCTGATTGTCTCAAATTAGAACTTTTCTTGAGAAATAATTAACTTGAATATATAGAATTGTTATTAAAAGAAGTGTTATGCGGAAAATATTGACGGAGAAGCAGCAGCAGACTTCATGAAAATTTATAAAGATTTACTTGATTCAGAAGAATATGAACATACTCATAGAGACTCTTTAAACTTAAAAAGATTGTAGAAGACTTTAATAGATCACAAAGCTGACAAATCTTCTGTTTCTATATTTGAAAATAACTCATAACTTAGATTGGAACTGTCATGCATGATGAATATTCCAGTAGGAGAATATCTTTTCATTTTAATCAAACGCGAGAAAAATATTCGATTTCATTTGGAAAAAAATCAAACCTATTTATGCTTACAGAAGAGCGATTACACATCATCAATGGGCTCCCTCTATAATCATACTCATCATTAATGATGTTTGTAATATACTACTAAATATATAATAACAAATTGTGAACGTTCGACTTTATATTAGATTCGAGCACTCAATAAAATGTTAATTAAAATGATTTTTATCTAGTCAAAATTTTAGGAAGGAAAATATGACTTTTGTCGATATATCGTGCCAGAAAGCAATCATTTTGACCTTTCTTCTTTGAAAGTTCTGTAATCATGAGAGTTAAAAAGTCTGGCAGGTTTATAATAAGTAGGATAAATTCGAAGGAGTATTTGAAAAAAAATGTTCAAATTCATTGAATAGAATTTGAGATATAAGCGTGAGGGTGTTTAGAAAACAACGGTACAACACGAGTGCAATTCACCCATATAGTATATATATAGGGGTATATCAATTCACTCACACACTTATTCATAGAAAAATAACTCAAGATCAACAATAAGTTACTCGAAGAGAACTAGAATAGGTAAGCTGAAAGTTCTTAGATCACTTTCTATTTGCATTAACTTATATTAATACTTAATACTGAGTATCGATATGATAAGTGATCAATACCCAGGGACGGCGCAAACGGGGGGGGGGAGCCCAACTTTGGAAATTTTTGTTTCAATTTTACTCCGATTTGAAGAAAATAGAAGAGATTTTTATTAATTTACTCCGATTTTTGAAGAAAACCCTCCCGTTTTCAAGTAACCCCCCTATATTTTTATTGCTTCGCGCCGTCCCTGTCAATACCTAAATATTAACTTAAGTAGCATAAAGGATGATGTCTAAATTGGATATACAGTAAAACCTCTCATAGGGGACACCTCTCTATAGTGGACACTTTTCACGGTTCCATAGAGTGATTTTTGTTGGAATTGGGCCTCTGTATAGTGGACATTACTTAAGAGCTTGGAGAGAATGATTCGAATTGATGGTCAGCAATTAACGACTGCTGAATTCATCGACATCGATTCTTCCATTCCTGTTCTCAATGAGTGGGATGATCATGAATATCTGATGTGACTAGTTGAGGTTAATAGCGAAAGAGGAGAAAGATATGACTGTGGCGGAAAACCTGCCAACTTTGGCTGTAGTCTTGAAAATTATGAGAAAACGTCATCTTTTTTTTATCCATTCAACAGTCTCAAAGGCATATTCTCATCCTTGAACTCAAATCGCACTTAACTAACATTTATCTGGATTCAAAAGTGACCAAACAGAGCTCTATCACATATTTTTTTTCAACTGTTGATTTACTTTAAACAATAAAAATACGTGAAGAGAGAAGTAACAATATGCTCGAGCTAGTTATCTTATTCACTATCAGTCTTCATATGTCTAGAAAATATCTCTGTTTCTTCGAGAAAAAAAAAGATTTTGAAAAAGACTTAACCTCCCCATAGTGGACACGTTTTCATAGTACGAACGGTGTCCACTATAGAGAGGTTTTACTGCAATGACTAAATGTGGCTTAAAATGTTGATGTAGCGTCAGAACTAGCATAATGAAAACGAAAAAGTCGTGTTTGGATAGGAGACCGATTTCGGCTGTAAACGTCCCCCGCCCTTTTCGAGTTTTATTTTTCCTTCATTTTTTCCTTGTTGCGATCGTGTGCACACTCTATTTTGATTGTCTTTATATGTGTACGCAAAATGTAGGTTCAACTATTTATTCTTTTCTTTAAAGTAGCGATATAATTGCTGATGTTAGCAAAGATAATTTATAAACAGTAAACTGCTATTAAAGAGAATTTCAAATCTTTTTATTTTTCTCTCTCGTTCTGTCTCATTTTATTCGTTAGCTTGTATGTGCAGAACAGTATCTTCTATTTTATATGAATTGACTGCACAACTGAAATAACTACCTTATCACATGTTGCAATCATTTTTCTGTTTGTACATAGAATTTTTTCCAAATTATTTTGTGAGTGTCTGCTTTTCTTTTATTTTTGTTGTTCAAATAAAAATTGAATATAAAAGAAAAAAAAAACTCCAGTTATTGAGCATGTTGCCTGTAAATAGTAGTCATCTTTTTACTCGTTGCCGTAGCTTCTATTTATTTAAAATAACCAACAAGATAAACATGAATGGTCTACTGTTCTCGTTTTTCTCTGGATTTATGTGTATTTCGCACTCTGTTTAATTGTACAGAAAAAAAAAACTTTCCACAAATATATTTGTGTGTATGTTTCGTGTGTTGTTATAAGAGAAATTTTAATCTGTACACATGTTGATTCATTCTTTCATTATTTTTTCTGTTATTTGAGATCTATTTGTGTTTCTTTCTCTAAATTCTACAAAATCCTTTTTTTTTGTTCTCGTTCAAATACATAAATAAAACAAATGGAAGTGAGAAAACTAGAATTAGAAAAGATGATAAGATCAAATACATCTATTTACATTGTTCTCAGTAATGGGACCGGTTCGAAATAGTGACAATCGATTTCGTTTCAATATATATTCGAATATATTTGTAAACCTGTTCATTTAAAGTAAATGAAGAAAGTATAGCATTTTTTACGGCCTACTCAACTGCTTCATAAATCTTAAGAGACGAGTGATATTTCTGTTCATCATTCAGTATATACTATTACAAACAAAGTTTTAGTAGCAAGCGTTAATATTCAAACAAATATTAATTGCTTATCAATTTTCATTATTTTTCAATTGGCTAATTAAATCTCGCTTTGTTTTGAACTTCAAAATTATCTTCAAAATACTACAATAGAGTTAGAAAAAAAGAATCTAATTCGTATTTCAAAACTGATAATGTTTCTCAACTGTTTAGGCGTTTCAAGTTTAGCCAGCCATAATGGTTATTACTTTTTAAACTGTGAGAAACAAAATCTTTTTATCTTGTAGGACTATTCTTTTATTTTGAATAGATGCACTTCCCATCATTATTAGCTACGCTATTATTTTCAAGTGCTCCATCACTGCGAAATGATAAACTAAGCAAGTACACAGCAACGACGGAAAGCATAACATATATAAAGTATTTCTTAAAACCTAGGCGTGTGACACTTTCACAGAACGTTATTCAAAGAATAAGAATCTGCTAGTTAAAACAAATTCTGTTCTTTGCACTTAATGACGAACGAAAATGTAGTGAAGCGTTTCTGATTAACAAAAAACAAATGGATGCATATCCAACAAACATACGCTGCAGTGTTTTTTCAATGAAAAGATATTTCTAAAATAAAAGCAAAATTTTGAAAAATTCGATCGGCTCGGTTCAATTCGGTTCCAAGAAAAACACCAACCGATCCCATCACTGTTATACAGGGATTTTTTTGATCTCGAACACATTACGCGTTAAAATATACGAAATCAGCATTTTATTGATGTTTCTTTTCATCTAGTCATTTTTCATGTGTCCTATTATTTAGTTATCAGAGACCAATAAATGTGTATGTTTGGATGCTGTCCATCAATGTTATTCATCAGTGATCGTTTGTGATGATTTCTGCAGAAATTTAGATTTATGTCGAACAGTAGTTCCTGCTGCTGCTCTAATGTATAAGTATGATGTTGTGGTGATGCTTTGCAGAAAACCTGTATTTAGTGCACTTATTAGTCACTAGCATTTTGTGTAAATCATCTTTGCAGGTTTAGTGGAATACGATCGATTACGATGTTGTTACGGGGATATAATGCATCCCTGTATGAGATCATCACTACTATGTCATAGAGTCATATTACCGTAGACTTTCACGTGTAAACAATCGCTGTGATAGACCATATATGATAGGGTGCTAATCGGTCGTAGTGATTAATCTAAGTATATTACAGGTCTTAATAGCCGGTCTCTAGAAAGCATATTCATCGTGTTTTTCATTTTAATTCAACAGAGTTCGCGATAACAGCTTTTCTTATTAAATAATAAAGATTGATTCAGTTATAGTTATATTTATTTCATAAAGTAAAGATAAAGCAACACCCCTGTTTTAAATGTATTCTTTCGTCGATGGCAGATAAGTAATTGATGATGTAATACTAAATAGTGATCGTTCACAATCTCAAGAATGCAAATATCACTTTATCTTTTGAATTGTTTTTTACGAAATGCTTGTTTTTTTCGACTAAGCAGGCAAACTCCAAGAACAATAAGAAGAGCGATAGGGAAAACGAAAATTAGTTCGAATAATAGAAACCATTTAAAGCAATCTGAAGATGGTGATAGTCTTAGTGATACGTCTTCTAATAGCGAAGTTTCAATGCTTCTGGTAGTTCGAGTCCCGTTTTTATGTTCTTTGATATACGTCGATGCTCTGGTTTTTGGTTTCACTAAGAGTTGCTTTTTTAGTTTTACCAGTTTAGCTGTGACTTTATGGTTTTTTTCTATTATTCGACACTGGTTTACAAAATAATGTCGATGCCAAAGATTGTGTCTCATAGAAAGAAGAGTTGGTTGATCTATAAGACTAAAGTGATAGTCGAATACAGGAAGATTTTTTGTGAAATTTAAATGAAGATCAGGCTGCAGATGTTCGACAATAGGATTCATTGGTCCTCGAGTTACGTTGAAATTGAGACCACTCTCACGGTAGTTTACAATAAGAGCCTCTCGATTTGGAAAGTTAGTGTAAAGTGAATACCATCCTCGTTCATAAGCAAATCGAATAAACCAGTGTGTCCACATTCTTCCAGCGAGATGTCGGCTCATCCACCATTCTGTCGAAAGAAGACCACCGGGCGTACATCCTTCCTCTATGTTTTCAGTCTTTATCGTCGCGATCCATTCTAAGAAGGCGTGCCAATGTTCAGGAAAGAAAACTGCACCCCATGTTCCTAGAATTCAAAGTCAAGAACATTAAAAGTGACAAATCTTGGCAAAAACTCACCAAGTAGCTGATATTTAAAAAACGTGGGAGCGCCAGTCTCATTCAATTCTTTATCAATCGATCGAATGCTGAAGCCCGTTCTCTGTCCAAGCACCGTGTGCTGATGCTGCATGGAGAGACCAAACATTCGACTGTCATAGTTGCTCTCATTTATGTAGTAAAAGTCGATAGCTTGTTTGAGAAAAATATAGAAGTGAGGTGAAACTGCAACGTCGTCTTCGAGAAACAACTGAATATCTTGATGATCAGTAGATACTGTCCATTGGCCTAGCAAGCCAACATGATTTTTGTGAACAATAATTGAGAGAGGGCCATGCGACCATCTAAATAATAGATTCAATTATTCCCATGTGCATTAAAAATCTTGAATTCAGAGAAAATAAAATGCTTTAATTAATAGTTGCTAGTACAATCCTTGTGGGATTGAAATATGAACATGACTATAGCTGTGATTCTAAAGATGAGTTTTAAAATGATTTAATGCTTTCAAGCTGTATAATTTCTACTATATCAAGACGCTGATTATTGCTTTTTTCAAAATAACAACTCTTAATATTCAGATTTTGCGAATATTAGACTTACAGTTTTCTTTGGATTACTGTCAATGATCTCGAAGTACCATTCAAATCATAAAAATATCGAATCAATTCTAGTAATATACGTAATACTCTATTCAGAGTGTCACACAGTCTAAGCTACTTGAACTAGGTTAACAATCCGAGTCTATTTTTGTGAAAACATCATAACAACTTGCTTTTCAGTCTGTTTCTATAATGTATCACTCGGTATCAATAGCTGCAATACATTTAAACTTCTCGCAAACTGCGTGACACTGAATATTCTGTTATCGTAATTTATTTGATCTATTATAACAAACACATTTCATTTGATGACAATATGAATATAAATGACAAGAGAACCCTCGCTTCTACCGCTTTCTGTACCGTTTGTCACTTTTATACATGTTCACTTGGATTGGCAAAAGGTTTAGTCGGATAGTCTGAAATTGTTTTAGACTTTTTTACTTGTTGATTAGCACTGAAAAAGGTTCCCAACATGATATCCAGAACTATAACCAAAAGAACTTTACTCGATGGCCAAAGCCATAAAAGAGTTCGACGCTACACCTTTTTCTAAAGAGTACTCTCGTAGAATATTTTACTAAAACTTGATTTGAAAATAATCTATTTTAGATGGAACATAGCGGTTTTCGTTGCCCGTCTACTTTTTTGGAATTATATCTTTCTTCAAGCTTACTTAAATTTTGATGCATGCGTCTCACCATCCCCAACATAGTCCATAACTTTTTTCCATTGCTCTTTTTCACTTGAACTAGCTCCTGCGGAAGGTCGATCAACAGAAATGTCTAGTGTCACAGAATCGTTCAAGTAATTAGCAGCTTGAAGACTTTTAAGTAGTCGTTGAAGACTCTGCAGTCGATTGTATGTGAGAACTCTAATACGAATGTGAACAGGGTTAGTCCTATTGGACAGAGAATAAGGTATACCACTCTCCAATGGGTCACATGAGCTACCTGTGCTCGCCAGAAGATTCCATGATTGTAATCGCTTTATTTTTGCCTCCAATCCTACAAGCCAATTGCCATGAATGACCACTGGAACAATCCCTCGACTTTGCGGTCGGTGCAGGTCAAAGAAAGATCGTCCATCAGGAAAAAGATATGGATCAAGCAGATTAATTGTGGTCGTATTAAGTCTATTGTTAATACATTCTTGCTCTGTGAGATCGCTCGCTGGACGTTTACGCTTGAGATGCTGCTGCTCTCGCAAGTCTACAAGATTCTGATTCTGGCATTTGATTACATCTTGCCACAATTTGCGACCTTTTGAAGTGGCATGGATAATAATAAAACCTCCGCTCATTTTTGTTTGTTTGTGTGTTTGACCTTGAATTGTAATCGATAGGTTATGTGAAATATAATTGAATGGATTTGAAAGCCAAAGAGTATCCATATCTGCACTGAGAAAGTGAAAACCTGCTCGAAGCACACGCATGAGGAATTCAAGACGATACATCATAGTAATCTGGAAATCGTATGAACCATATTTAGCTTCTGACTTTGAAGAAGTATTCAACGACTGCTCTTTCGATATGAACACAGGTTCATTGGCGGCTCTTAGTATTTTGTACGCTTCCAAATCTTCAGCAAGTAAAATGTAGTTACGAAATCCAATTCTTTTCGTCCAACAGATCTAGATTTAAAAAGATTCGTTTGCTTTTATGCTATTATACATCATACAAAGTAGTTTGGTTTTTATGTATCGATCAAAATAAACTAATTAGTTAGTCGATGTGTGATGAACAGAATTTCTTCGGTTTTCATGCTGTGTGCAATGGTCTCTTTTGTCAATTATTTTCATGCTTTTTTGTTATGAGAACTCAAAACGAAGAATGCGTACTGATACATTTATAGAACTCATAAGTGAAACCTGAATACATTAGATTTACCTCACCGCTTTGCTGCTTTTTCATTGATAATTGATACACAGACAAAATTCGTAACATTTTTACTTGAAGCTTCAGTATTCGGAATAAAGTAGTCAAGACGAGTGAGTGAGGATCACAACAAGTAATGATACGTAAATGCTCTCAAAAACTAGTGTATTACAGAAACAAATTTTGTAGTCTTAAAAAACTGTGCTGAGTGACATATGAAGTATTCAGATGTATATAATAGGTCTTGCTCGGATGATATTCAAAGAAATCGCTTTTCTCTCATGTATACAAGAGATTATTTTTGAAATCTAGAAAGAAATACTATTAAACTCACCCAATTCCATGCGAGTGGCATATATCCACTGGTAACTGTAAGTACCGCTATATACTTTTGTGCATTTGCCCTTTGTTTAAGTAGAACAGTCTCGCTTCGGTCCAAATTGTCTTTGAATGTACATTGGCTTTGTTCGCAGTTTCCGGTGAGTATTTGATTAGCGTTGTTAATAAAGCCAACTTTATAATCTTCTCCCGATGTATTCTTTACTAGCACATCGTTGTAAATAGCACCTCGCCGAAGTGCGTGACGTTCAGGTTTCTCGCCTTCGGGTTTTTTTCGCTGTTGATGAATAATAAAGATCGATTGAGTGACATCAATAACAGTTATGTTAGTTCTCAATAAGATTTCACTTAAAAGCCAGTTATCCCATCGATAAACACCAACAAGAAACGGTGGCATGCGAAATGGAGTGTCTGTTTTGAATGCAATAAAATCAATGCCAGTTGTTGAATGAATTCGACTATGATTCAAACCATTTTGTAAAGTCTTTTCTGAATTAGAATAATTAAACGAAGGTGATATTTCATAGTCTCGCCTACATCCAACAAGAAAAAACTTTTGCATAGTAGCATTTACGAAGGAAATAGTATGAGACATGCTATTATGTAACATAATATCACCATTGACAAAGACTAGAATTGATTTTTGTTTTTGCTGTTGAGCTATATCAAAAGCACAATTGATGTAAGGACGGTTGTAAGTTGAATGCCAACACTTGAGTGAGGCAAAATTGTGACAAGTTACGTTTGGATATTCAGTCTTAAGGAAAGAACACGATGTTGCATTGTCAACAAATAAAATTATGTTCTCCATAGGCACTAGTTGAGACCAACTCCAAATAGAATTAGTCTGTATCTGGTGTTCGATTGGATCAGGATTCGGCATAGTTTTTAAAATTGAGAAAATCGTAATATCAGTAAATGTTACTACTCCTTTCACTGATTGTGTTAATACTAGCGTTGCTACGACAACATTGAGAATGTGCAGATAAAGTTTCATTTGTACTATGAAAATGAAAAGCGAACCAATTAATTATTGACAACCACTATTGCTAAGTGTACTATATTCTTAGACGATCCAGTTCACGTAATGTCTAAAATAAGATGATACACTTTGAAAATTTTGTTAGCACAGCCCCCTTTGGAGCTAAAGTGTGGAACTCATATATATATATGTCGTAGGCCAATCTCGGATCCAGGTCAATCCCGGATTGGCCTAGGCCATTCTAAGATCCTAGTTTGGACTAGTCCAATCTTGGATTGATGCAATTCTATTCATTAATATATCAATAACTTTTTACATAAACTTTAGATTTGAGTCATTTTTTGAAATCATGTTCATACGATGCCAATTTGC